CCTCTAGTTAATAATAATGATCCTACCTATGTATGTGTCCAGGGTACAGAGCACTTTCTTAGCCACATCAATTTCTCCAGCAACCCTGAGAAGTGGTGGGCAGATAGCTAGCTTCTCTTAGTTGAGGGGAGGCTGAAGTGTGGTAGGAAGTGAGGGCAGGTGCTGGTCATCTCTGAGGCTGGATGATCCCATGTCACTGGCCCTCCTCATGGTTGGTCCCATGTCACTTGGGGGAGCTGATGACATTCTGGTCAACCAAGAATTTGAAAGGCTAACGACTTGCCCAAGGTGATAGAACTATTGTGTTCACCTGAGTGCTAAAGAGGCAGAAGTGGAGACTTCCCACAGAGCCAGAGCTCGGTGCTAGTACTCAGGAACTGCTGTGAGATTGAGATGAGAGGCAGAGAGAGCATCTGGGGTTTAGGATCCAAGCCTGGGGCATGGCCAGCAGCAGAGGGTTGGCCAGAGACACCAATGTCTTACTTGGGTATATTCTGCATCCCAGACACAGGCAGGCCCCAGTCCCTACTGAGCCCTGGTTGCCATCCAAAACTGTCCTGCCTGGTCTCTAGTGTTCACCACTCCTTACACTGAGATGTGTCATCTTAGCCAGGACCTGGCCCACTGACAATGTTGGGGCTAGTTCCTGTGCCCCAGTGGGGCTAGGCTGCAGGGCACAGAGCACTGGGTTGATTGGGGCCAGACGCCAAGGAGTCCCACCTGGCCCTGGATCCAGCTTGCTGTAAATCTGGCCACATATCCCAGTCACTTTGGGTTTAAATTGTTTTATCTGCAAAATAACCACCTTTTTTGTCACCGGGCCAATCTGACAATCTGCAGGCAGCCCTAGTTCAGATCTGCCTCTACTGCCACTGCCACTATAACCGTGAGCAAGTCCTTTGCTTCTCTGAGCCTTGATGTAAAATGTAGTAAATTAACAATATGTTCAGCAAAGTTTGTTGTGAGTTTAAGTGAGATGATGACTGTGATGTTATTATCCCTTTGTCTCCTGGGCCATGGGAGGGTGATGGGGACAAGTTGGAGGTTCCATTCTCCATGAACCTTTTCCAAGGTCCATTTCATCCTGAAGACTTCACAGCATATCTGCATCCAGAGTCCTCCTACTTAATGGAGTATAGGGGAGGGAGGACCCTGCCCAGCCATAGTTCAACCTCTCCTTTGGAGTCACAGGGGTAGAGATGGACAGGTGGCAGGGGGCTGGGGTTGAGAGTGCTGTACTTTATTAACCTGTATAGGAGAGCGTTACTACTAATAACTATTAACTAATCACGAAGATTAATTATTAATAACGGTTCTCAATTTATTGAACACTTCTACACCTAATACTAAGCATTTTATATGTATAATTTAATTCTTTAGACAACCCACACAGTTAAGAATTTTTATCGCCATTTTCTAGATGAGGAAACATAATCAAAAAGGTTCAGAGATTTTCTGAGGGTTGCACAGCTGAAAATTGGGTAGGAAGAGGGCCTGGGATCAAAGTCTGTGTGAACTTGGAGCCTGTGTATCCTAGCTGTTTCCTTGCAGTTCCATGGCTGCCTGAGGCAGAACCCACTGGCCTTGGGGGAGTCCTAAGAGTCTGGTGACTGATTTAGGGAAATACCATGCCCCTGTCCTGACTACAGGCTGTGGTCCCCTGAGGAGCGTCAGGCTGGCTGGCTCTTCTCCCTGTTGTTTCATGGCCTAGACAAGCTGATAAAGTGATTTCTCTACCCACTTCAGAGCTATATGGGGCTCCAGGTGCCCCCCTTCTCTCCAGGTCTGGGAACCCCAGACACCCTTTCTTCTCCTCCCATTCTTCTCCTCCCAGGCTGTTTGGTTTGACCCATAGGCAAATCCCCAGGGTAGGAGAAGCTGCTTTGAAAGGTGAGAGACCCTGGATGGCTGGACTTCCCATGGGAGCCCCGCCCCCCACCCCCCCCACACACACCTGCACAGATCCCTCTGGGGCCCTGCAGCCTGCAATCTGCTTCTTTCAGGGCCTGGCCTGACGCCTTTCCACTCTAGCCATAGCCTGACCTGAACTGAACTGGGCACCCTACCATGTGTGTGCAGAGCAGTGCCACTCGAAGCTGCAGGATCTGACTGGGTGGGGTGTTCCTCTCTTCTGGTCACTCACCTGGTCACTTACCTCTGCGGACAGATCTTCCACATGACCTACGACCTGGCCAGCGCCGTGGTGCGCATCGTGAACCTCATCGGCATGATGCTCCTGCTGTGCCACTGGGATGGCTGCCTGCAGTTCCTGGTCCCCATGCTGCAGGACTTCCCTGACGACTGCTGGGTGTCCATCAACAACATGGTGGTGAGCACCCAGCCGGGCCCTGGTGAGGACAGAGGGGGCTGATGAGGCACTGACGGGTAGAGCAGGTTCACAACTTGAAAATCCTGAGTTCCAACATGTAAGACCCTGAAGTGCCAGCCTAGCACCCACGGCACATGGCTTTACCCAGTACAGGTCTGTCACAGAGCTCCTGGCCGCACGCTGCTACCTTTGCCTTCTCGCAGCCTCACTGCAGCTGGGAGCCTGGCTATTTGGAGCTGATTTCACTAGGGGGAGACTAAGACCTGGGCTCCTCGGGTTCTGTCAGGTGTGGCAGAGCTGGGCTGGTGGCTCCTGCCCTCCTGCCTTTTTGCCAGAGGCAGACTTACCAATTGGGGTTACCGACTGGGACCTCAGTTCTTTTCATCGACGCAGAAAAGATTTTAAGGTCAACAAAAATGAAAGTAAAGCAAAATGGGGTTTATTGAAGATACGTTCTAAACTAGGAGTGGGCTACTGAGAGAGAGAGAGAGAGAGAGAGAGAGAGAGAGAGAGGGAGAGGGAGAGGGAGAGAGAGAGAGGGAGAGGGAGAGAGAGAAAGGGAGATGGATAAAATGGCTGGGCTGTCTCAGCTCACTGGGAAGTCAGAGAATAGGGGGCCTTGGAGACAGGTTTAGGGGTTAGCCCGGGATGAGCTGCAGCTGCCCATTCGTCCCCTGGTTGCAAGTCTCGTGGGGTCCTTTAGAGGTTGGGAGACATGTGCCTGTGGGGGAAGGGAAGGAGAAAGGGAATGGCACGGGCCTGCTCCTTGAAGGTAGAGATAATGGCCCCCAACTCCTGGTTTTAAAAGGAGGATTTTCTGGGTGGAGACTTTCATTTGCATTCAGGCATGATTGACAGAAACTACCTTTTTTCTGGGCATGCCCTTACCCATAATACATACAGAAAAACCCATGGGGGCAAGGTCAAAACCGAAATACAAATTTTATTATAATTAATCCAGGACCCTAGTGAGGTTGTATTGTCTTGTCGTTTTCTCTGCGCATGTGCCAAGAACCAGCTGGCTCCAGATCTGCCTGGGTGGTCTGCTGGCTTCTGGGCCGCCCATAGAGAGGCTGTCTGAAGGCAATTCTGGTCCGGCTCCTGATCAGGACCCCAGGGCAGGCCCCACCCCAGCCACTCAAATCTAACTTCCTACTTCACAGATCCACCTTTAAAAGCCACGCCCAAGCAAAGAGAACCCTGTGAGGGACACTGTTGGTAGCAGGCATAGACTCCCAGATCACACACAGTAGCTATTTTCTGCTCCAGCTTCAGAACTGGACTGTCCCCCTATTCCTGTCATTCCCTCATCCCCACCCCACGTACACACATACATCCTGATCATAGGTGGTGTCCTGAGTGGGGAGGACAGACCAGATTGAGCCTGATCCCTTCCAAACCTGTGGGTGGTTGAGAGAAGTTGAAATTGAGGCTAGGGAAGCCATGGGGCAGAGTCCCCATCCCCCCATGGACAGGGTGGGCTCCAGGAGGGATGGAGGGCCCCCTGGACCTGTGAGCCTCTTTCTGTGTCCGGGAACCCCATGCTTACAGGGTCCAGGGGGACCTGTCGGTTTGGTTTGGTCTGTAGGCAGATCCCCAGGCCCCCTGAGTAGGAGAAGCTGGCTTTGAAAGAGGTGAAAGAGACCCAGAGCATCTTTCAGTATCAAATAGGCCTTTAGAAAACAGCCTTTTGATGAGCTAAGTGTAAATAAATCAGCTATATGGATTGAATTTCTGAGTTCCTAGGGGCTGAACAATAAGGCTGGAATTTCTGACTGAAGGCAGATGGGGGTCCCTCCTGTTCCCCCAGTGCCCAGGCCCCCCTCCACTCCTGGAGTTCAGCCCTCCCCACCCCCCCCCCCCCCCCCCGGCCAGACCTCCCACCCAGGTTTGGACTGAGCACCATACCAGCTCAGCTCTGTCCAGTATGGTCTCAGTGACCTTGAACATGGCGTGCAGCTCCTGTGCCTGCCTTCAGGTGCTGAGAACAGCCTGGTGACCCCAGAAGTGCTTGAGGCTCCGGCCAGGGGTTCTGTGGGTCATGCAGTAGGGTGGGTTCCACATCATTGCCAACATATTCATTGTGTGAGCAGAGAGGCATTGGGGAGGTGGCCGGCACTGGGGTTCATCTGGGGCCCCCTCATCTAGGACAGTTTCCTCCATGTGAGGGTGACAAGTCCACACGTGCACGAAGTTCAGGAGATGGCTCTTCTGAGCCCAGTGTTCCCACACTGAGGCTTCCTTGAGACACCAACTAACTTTGGAGACAAAAATAGCCAGTTGCCTCCCTCCTTCTCTCCCTCCTCCCACCCCAAGCATTGTCTGTTCCAGGTAACCCACCTTTTGTGGGGGGAGGATAACTGGTGGCCACAGTCCTGGACAGATGCAGGCAGGGTTCATGCAGGAAGGGAGTCCGCTCAGCAGCACTTTAGATTTTGCTCACCCAAAATGAGGACAGTGTTTTTGGCTCAATTGAGAGTCTGTCCCCCTAGGGGAAGCATATCTGCTTTTATAATTGAGGTCAGTGGGGAAATGGGCTTTACTTGGGAGTAGTTTGGGGTAAGGGGATGGAGCTATTTTAGTAAGCAGAGGACAGCAGGGTGGCTCAGCCTGAAGTCTTGTGCTGCCCAAGAGGCCCAGGCTGCTCTGTGGGGGCTGAGAGGTCCGATGGGGGCTACACCGTTCCTGTCCATTTGCTGGGCTTCCCATCTAATCCTGGTCCCCCACTGCAGGAGAAAGGCCTGAGTGAGGAGTTCACTCGGTCACTTAGGTTACCATTGTGGGCCTCCCTGCCCTTCTCCAAGGCTTTCAGCCACTGGCAAGGTGGGAGCCGTGAGCTCAGCAGCTGGAAAAGAGTTGAGGGATGGGAGGTGGTGGGGACTTTTCTAGGTCCTGGTGAGGCCTGCTCTCTCAGTGGTGTGAGCCTTCACTACCACTCCACCCTGTGTCTGTGTACCTATCTACAGAACAGCTCCTGGGGAAAGCAGTATTCCTATGCCCTGTTCAAGGCCATGAGCCACATGCTGTGCATCGGATATGGACGGCAGGCGCCTGTGGGCATGTCCGACGTGTGGCTCACCATGCTCAGCATGATTGTGGGCGCCACCTGCTACGCCATGTTCATCGGCCACGCCACTGCCCTCATCCAGTCCCTGGACTCCTCCCGACGCCAGTACCAGGAGAAGGTAGGGCAGAAAGCTGTGTCCAGTTTGGGCTATCTCAGGGCAGCCAGCTGGTCCCTAGGGAGCACAGGCTCCAGCCAGTGGGTCCCCACCAGATCCCCAGTGGGTGCCCAGCCTGCCACCATCATCTGGCTTCAGCTGCTGTCTTTTCTGTTGCAGTCTCTTTTTCTTTCTTTTTTATATTTTTCTAAAATATACAGAAAGTCCGCATTGTTTACAGACCAGTGACTGTGAGTGTGCAGTGCCCTCTGTGTGGCTAACACCTTTTGGGTCCACATCTTGTGCAGAGCCCTGGGCATTCATTCCATGTGACAGTTATCACTGCTCCTGGGTTTACACTTGTTTACCGTGACCGCACACTCTCGGTTTTCCTCCTCCTCACAGGCCAGTCCTCCTTGTTCTCCTTGGCTGCTTGTCTTTTCAGTCTTTATACATTGTGTCCCTGGTGGTTTGGGCTCAATTCTCTGCTTTTCTGTCTCTCCTGTCTTCCTGGGTGCTACTGGTTTACCACCCCACCCGCATGCTCCATGTCCGTCTCTATGCAGCAGGCTCCAAATGATATAATCAGTCCCCACCTCTTTCCTCACCCTGCACTGTCTACTTGATGCCTCCCCGGACACCTCCACCTCATCGCATCTAAAATGAGAACAGTTTCCCTTGCCTTCTCTGCTCCAAACCTCTATTCTTGCCCATCCTGTTAATGGACACAGTAGCACAGATGCCCAGGCCAGAAATTAGGAGCCATCCTTGGTGTCTCTTAGTCATTAATGCCTCCCTTCATTCCCATCATCCAGCTGACGTCCGCCTGGGTCACGCAGCAGCTTCCTAAGCAAGTGGCTGTGCTGGAGTAAAAGGCTGCCTGGGTTCTAAGCCCAGCTTCCCATTGACAAGCTCTCCACTGAACATGGGCATGTAGCATCACATCTCTAGGTCCCATTTGCTTGTCTGTAAAATGGGGACAATACCAAGGGTTATGTCATGGCGTTTGTGAGGAGTGACCCTACAGAGTAAGCCATTCAATATTTATTAGCCAAGTGGGCTCCCCTCTGTCCCTTCTACTTTATTCTCCAGATGGCAGATGGCATTGGCATTTAAAACATAAATCTGCTCATATCACTGCTTAGAGCTTTCTGTTACTCCAAGATGCAGAGTAAGTGTGTTTTCTCAGCCTGGCATGCAAGCGCTCCCCGCCTTCTCATGCTCAGAACACGCCATGGGCTCCATAGCCCTCTACGTGCCAGCCTTGCCAGCCTCCCTGCATGTGCCTCCCTGCCTCGGGGCCTGGCACAGACTCAAGCTGGAACTCTCCTCTCTCTTTTCACCTGACCCTTTCTCCACATCTCAGCCTAAATGTCACCTGCTTGGTGAAGCCTTCCATGCCCCAGTCAGCCTCCACCCATCATGTGACCCAGTGACACCCTCAAATTCTCCTTCATTACACTTCGCACTTCTGTCATTATTTAATTAATTATATGTAGCCAATTGTTTAATATCCATCTTCCCTATCCAGGCCATGGCTCCATGAGGGTAGGCCAGTCCCCATGGATCCCCAGTGTCCAGCACATAGTAGGGCTCAGTATGTATTTATGAACTGCCTGCTTGTCTGCCTCAGGTGCTGTCCCCTGATGGGCTGACTGAGAGATGGCAGCCCAGGTCCCATGACACTTAGAGGAAAGCCCGAGAGAGCCTGAAGAGCCAGAGCAGGGTGGGAAGGTCATTTTGGGAAGGCAGAGGAAGGAGGAAGTAGAAGAGAATGCTAGGCCAGTGATCATGATGAACATGAGCAAAGGTGTGTAGATGGGTGGTAAAGAAATCAACCTGATTAGAACAAAAGGTTCTGGGTTAGGAGTGAGGGGGCAAGAGAGGGGGAGGAGAGTGGAGTCAGGTTATCAAGGCTAGTGCTTCAAGGGCCAGGTGAGAGGTCAGTGTAGCCCAGCATCAGGTCCCAGCCTGTGAGCAAGGTCAGGGCCCAGCCTATGAGCAGGGTCGGGGCCCAGCATGTGAGCAGGGTTGAGGCTCAGTGTGTGAGCAGAATGGAGGCTCAGTCTGGGACCACCATTAGGGATAGTTTAAAAAAAGCACCAGGGTCTACTGTCCAGCAGAGTCAAGCTGCTTGTGGCTTTTCATTTGAGAGTTGCCTTCATTTCATCCTTTAGCTAATAGCTCTTTAATGTATAATTCACCCATAAATCTCTCTTAAACATATTACCTCCCCCTCTGTCCTCACTACTCTCTCTCACCTGGACCACTTTAACAACCTTCTAACTTTTGTCCTGCCTCCAGACCCTGCCTCCCACCCCAATTGCTTCTCTATGTAAGGGGAATTCTAAAAAAACACAGCTCTTTTCTGGCTGCCCCTATCCCCATAGCCAGCCAGAAAGTCACTGTTTCCTATAGCTGGGCACAACTTAGAGCAGACAGAGGCCAGGTTGGCTGGAAGAATGTTAAGAAAGGTCATCTCCCAGCCCCCAGGTGCCCGTCAGCATCTCTGCAGCAGCACTATGTCCCGACCTCTTTGGAGAACTGATATATGAGAGCAGGCTGCCTATTATGACTATTCCTTGGGTACAGGGACTTCTCTTGCATTCCATTGTGGGAAAAATCTGTCCTTGCCCAATCAGTGCCTCTGGTCCCTAGCCATGCTTCTGAGGATCCCCACTTCCCACCCACAATCCAGGTGGGTTGGAGCAGACCCACAGGATGGGCAGGTTCAACAATCTCTATTCCAAACACGTTTAAGGTCCCTGCTGTACCAGGCCCCTCCCCTGGACTGTAGTTGCTCTTCAACAATGTGACTTAGTCTCAGTCCCAGCCATGTTGGGATACATGACGTGCCACATGTGGGCTGGCTTCAGTCTTCAGCCCTTGTAACCCATCGCAGCCCAGTCCTGCTGATGTTACCACTGGTGGGAAAGAGCTCCTTCCCAAATCAGTGAGGCCTCTCTGGTCCACAGTGTAACACAGAGGGACCAATATTTCGAGGAAACTTCATTGACTTCCAGGTCAGTTGGCCTCTTGTAACTGGGCTTTGGACAGTCCTTGTCCCTGGCCATCTCCATAGTGTTGGACACGTTGAAGACCGGTCACTGGGATGGAGCTTCTCCTCCACCCCAGCTGCTGGCAGTCAGGGCCATTGTTTGGGGCACAGTGGGGAGCAGGAGATCATCAACTTTAACTGCCGGAAGCTGGTGGCCTCCATGCCACTGTTCGCCAACGCAGACCCCAACTTCGTGACATCCATGCTGACTAAGCTGCGCTTCGAGGTCTTCCAGCCGGGCGACTACATCATCCGAGAAGGCACCATCGGCAAGAAGATGTACTTTATCCAGCACGGCGTGGTCAGCGTGCTCACCAAGGGCAACAAGGAGACCAAGCTGGCAGATGGCTCCTACTTTGGAGGTGAGTGGCCAGGAGACCCTGGGGAGACAGGGGAATGGGCTGGAGAGACCGAGAAAAGCATTTCAGGCCCTTCATGGCCACTGCCTGGAGGTAGGTGTCTGTGAGCCCAGCATAGGGGGATAGTCCCAGAGATGGAAAAGGTGGCCTGGAGTGGGGGACTGATGAATGTATCTGTCAAGCATCTGTACTAGGTAGTGGGGACCCAGGTCAGGGTTGGGTGGAGGCCCTTAGGAGGCCACCCTGACTCCTGCTGTCCCAGCAGAGATCTGCCTGCTGACACGGGGCAGGCGCACAGCCAGCGTGCGGGCCGACACCTACTGCCGCTTGTACTCGCTGAGTGTGGACAACTTCAATGAGGTGCTGGAGGAGTACCCCATGATGCGGCGGGCCTTCGAGACCGTGGCGCTGGACCGCCTGGACCGCATTGGTGAGGGGACTGGGCGAGAGGGCGGAAGGGAGGTGGACCGGGCTCCCCCTCTCCTCTGCCCTGAGCCCCTGCTCTCCTTCTGTGGCCCAGGCAAGAAGAACTCCATCCTCCTCCACAAAGTCCAGCATGACCTCAACTCAGGTGTCTTCAACTACCAGGAGAATGAGATCATCCAGCAGATTGTGCAGCACGACCGCGAGATGGCTCACTGTGCGCATCGCGTTCAGGCTGCCACCTCCGCCACCCCGACCGCCACGCCTGTCATCTGGACCCCGCTGATCCAGGCACCACTGCAGGCTGCTGCCGCCACCACTTCTGTGGCCATAGCCCTCACCCACCACCCACGGCTGCCCGCTGCCATCTTCCGCCCTCCCCCGGGCCCCAAGCTCAGCAGCCTCGGGCCTGGGCAGACACCCAGGCATCTGAAGCGGCTGCAGTCTCTCATCCCTTCTGCACTGGGCTCTGCCTCACCCACCAGCAGCCCATCCCAGTTGGATACACCATCTTCCTCCTCCTTCCACATCCAACAGTTGGCTGGATTCTCCGCCCCTGCCGGACTGAGTCCTCTCCTGTCTTCGTCCAGCTCTTCGCCACTTCCCGGGGTCTGTGGCTCTTCTCCTGCTCCCACACTATCCGCCAACACAGCTTCCACCACCATAGCCGGATTTGGCCTCTTCCACAAAGCACTGGGCGGCTCCCTGTCCTCATCTGACTCACCCCTGCTCACCCCACTACAGCCAGGCACCCACTCCCCACAGGCTAACCAGCCACTACCTTCACTACCAGGGGCCCAGGGAAGCCTGGGACTCCTGGAACATTTCCTGCCACCCCCACCTTCATCCAGGTCCCCATCCTCTAGTCCAGGGCAGCTTGGCCAGCCTCCTGGGGAGTTGTCCCCAGGTCTGGCTGCTGGCCCACCAAGTACGCCAGAGACACCTCCACGGCAGCCTGAGCAGCCATCCATGGCAGGGGCCTCTGGGGAGGCTTCTCCTATAGCCTTTACCCCCCGAAGAGGTCTCAGCCCCCCTGGCCACAGCCCAGGCCCCGCAAGAACTTTTCCAAATGCTCCACCCCGGGCCTCTGGCTCCCATGGTTCCTTGCTCCTGCCACCTGTATCCAGCCCCCCACCACTCCAGGTTCCCCAGCGCTGGGGCACACCACCTCTCACCCCAGGCCGCCTCACCCAGGACCTCAAGCTCATCTCAGCCTCTCAGCCGGCCCTACCCCAGGATGGGGCACAGACCCTCCACAGAGCCTCCCCACACTCTTCTGGGGAGTCTGTGGCTGCCTTCCCGCTCTTCCCCAGAGCTGGGGGTTGCAGTGGGGGCCTTGGTCCCCCTGGGAGGCCCTATGGTGCCGCCTCAGGCCAGCATGTCACTCTGCCTCAGAAGACATCCTCAGGTTCTTTGCCACCCCCTCTTTGTTTGTTTGGGGCAAGAGCCGCCTCTTCTGGGGCCCCCCCTCTGACTGCTGCTTCCCAGAGGGAACCTGGGGCCAGGGCTGAGCCAGTGCGATCCAAACTGCCATCCAATCTATGAGCTGGGGCCCCTTCCTCTCTTTTCTCTCTTCTTTCTTCCTTCAGGTTTAACTGTGATTTAGGAGATATACCAATAACAGTAATAATTATCATTTTAAAAAACTCACACCAGAAAAACAAGACAGCAGAAAATAACCAGGTATTCTTAGAGCTATAGATTTTTGGTCACTTGCTTTTATAGACTATTTTAATACTCAGCAGTAGGGGGGGGGGGGTTAGGCAAGGCTCAAATGCAAAAGCCAGAGCAAGGTTGGGGGGTGGGGGCTACCCATGTTTGGGGTTCCTAGAGCAGACCTGTCATTGTATTTGTTTTAGGGCACCAGCCACCACCAGCCCCTCAGCAGTGAACTTGGTGCCTCACTCTGCGGGGAGTCTTCTAGGGGCTGCCCTTGGTGGTTTTCCTGGGGAGCCTCAGTCTCCTGAGTCCTTGGAACAAAGTGGGGCCAGGGTCCTGAGAATTTTGCATTTTTTTACTGCAAACCTAGCAAGATCTGTATGTGTCTGTAATATGTGTATATGTATAAGCTATGTAGCGCTCTGTAGAGCCATGTAGATAGCCACTCACATGTGTGCAATCTAGTTTAACCCAATGTTGCCGGGACACCCAGGTCACCTTACATCCAGCAGCCCACCGTAGTCCATAGGCTGGGAATCGGAAGGTCTGGGGGGAGTATTCTTTCCAGTCCTCAGGGAAGAGGACCCCAAGACCTCTCAGCAGGCCCCCTGTCTCCCCATCTCTGGTTTCCTATCCAATCCCAGCCTGACCTCTCACCACATGGAAGCAGAGGACTCTGAACTGTGCCTCCTGTAGGTCCTCAAGCACATCCTGTACTCTCTGGCCCTCAGTTCCCTGTCGGGACAGTGGGAGGTGAGGGTACTTCTGGTGGAGTCTGCTCTGTGCCAAGCACTGGTTCAGCACTTTACACACATTAACTCCTTCCATTTCACAAAGACCATGAGGTAGGTACTTTGATTCTCCCTATTTCACAGATGAGAAAACTGAATTTGGGGTACTTTTTCCAGAATCATGTAGCTAGGAGTGACAGACCTGGGACTGATTTGAGATTCTAATTCATGCCTGCTTGAGGCCAAAGCCTAGGTTCCTTCCATTAAAAGCTGTTGAGAGAGGCTAAGTTAGTCTTCAAGCATGGTGCAGCGGGAGAAACCAGATTATAGAGGCAACCAGACCTGGTTTGAATTCCAGCCCTGCCTTAGCTGTGTGATCTTGGGCAAATTATCTGACCTTCCTGAGTCTGTTACCTCAAATGTAAAACGGGAATAATTATGGTGCCATCTTACAAGTACGTATGAGGACAGGATGAGAAAAGCAGTATATGTGAAATGCCCAGCCCGTACCTGGCACATGCCATAGTAGGTGCTCAGTAAGTCATGTTTCTTCTGCCTCCCCTCATCCAGCCCATTGCTCCAGCAAGCTGTGGTGAGAGCCCAGGGAGCTTTGGCTGAGGGCTCCAGGACTTATGATCTCAGGGCATAGGAGGCGGCAGGGCTTTCCGAAGGGCCAGTGGCAGGCTTGAGCCAGGCCTTGAAATGTGGGAAGAGTTAGAAAGTGAGAGAGGGAGGGGAGGGAAAGGGAGGGGAAGTGAGGAAGTAGAAAGGCAGGTGGGATGGAGTGCTCAGTGGGATATGATGAAGGTAGATGTACAGTGTGGAGCTGGGGGCTTTGGGAGCCAAGTGGTCAGAGGGAAGACCGTGGATGCCAGGCTAAGGGGATTGGCCCTGATTCTGCAGGCAACTAGGAGCCAGAAGCAGGTTCAGAGTGAGAGTCATTGTGAACTAGGAGCTCAGATTATAGAAGCTCCTTAGGCACAATCCTCCCTTCCAACAAGATTCTACCAGAGCCAAGCTCAGTGGTCTGCCTCCTTCCTATAGGGTAGGAGCAGGTTTGCTACCAAGACCTGAATAGTAAGGAGGACTGATCCATGCTCCAAGAGCTCTCCTCCATGCTCCCAGCTAAATGCTGACAAGATCAGGCTTTGTCCTGGGCTGTGGGACAGGCCAGTATCTCCAGTGATGGGCCACAGGCAGTGGGGGGCCGTTTTCCAGGACAGGAGGAGGTGAGGATTCTGGGTCTTAGGGAGAGACAAGGAGCCGCCTGGCCTTGGTCATTACTGGGCAGGAGAAGTCCCCTCAGACCCAGGGAGTTCTCAGAGCTGGAAAAATTTAAACAGAGGCCTCAATCCGAGTTCTGCACACACCCACGCCCCCTGAGGAAGGCTTACTTAATCTAAACCCACAGTAGTCCTGGAGGTAGTGGCCAGGGTGGGGGGTAGGAACGGGACAGGAGTGAGGGTGGAGGGTTCAGTGGCATGCGGAGTGAGGACACGCCCTTGTTATCAGGGCAGGCCTCACCACCCTCTACACACGCACACACATTTTATAAAAGCTGACCCCGTGCAGCCACTCTGGAGGCTGGGGAAGCCAAGTCCAATCAGTTGGCCCTTCTATCCCCACAAGCAATTTTCAAATCTTCCACTTTTAAAACAGAAAACGGTAAATGTGCCGTGTTGTATATTTTATTTAAATAAAAAAAATCCAATAGATGCTGCCTTCTTTTAGGGGCCAGGGATTGAGGGGGAATGAAGTTATTGGGGAATGAATACTGGGGGCTCAGGAGCAAGGCTGTGGAGGGCAGTGGACAGGTCCCCTAGAGCAGTGGTCGCAAGCTGGTGGTCCATGAGGTCCAAAAGATTGGCGACCGCTGCCCTAGAGCACTTGCGGACACTGGAGGCAGCTGTGCTCTGTGTGTGGGCTGGTGAGAGTAAGGAGGAGGATGAGAGAGTGTGTGTGCATCTTTTGTCAGTTAGTGGAGGGGGAGACCCTGACTGAGATCCTTCCCACCCCAGCTGCCAGAGTCCCTGGGACTCCCTGATGCTCCCTAAAGGAGGAGGGGGGCAGTAATGTGCACATGAGCTCCAGCTGGTTCCAAACAGGGATATACCATCTTAGCCTGGTCAGCTGGGCCCTCAGAAGCTGGAGGGCAGTTGGGGACAAAAGGTGACCGAGCTGGGGGTTTCATGACCAGGACAGAGGGTTGCCTTTCAGAGTGGCCAAGAATGAGCCACAGCCTTTGGACTCTGTATGGGTTAGGGAACCTGAGGGCATCCTCTGGATTCAGGCCTTGTTAGGAAGCGCTGCCCACTCCCCACTGCCCTGGGGAGGATGCTAGGCCTGGCCCCCAGACCCTTGTAAAACCCTTAGATGACAGCCTCTACCACCCCTGGCTGCAGAAGGTCCCTGTAAGCCCTGGGACCTTGCCCAGTAGGGGAGAAGCAGTGATCTGCCATCGGAAAAGCCAAGTCCCTGGGGGCTCCTGGCTGCTCAGGGAATGCCGTGGTGCCCCATCCACATGGCAGAAAGGAAAGTCCTCAGAAAGGGCAGGGAACCCGCTTCCCATTACTGATGGCTGAGTGGATGCTGTTTCCATGGTAACTGACCTGAAAGTCCTGTTGCTAAGGAGGCAGCTCAGCAGGCCCAGCATCCCCATGACAACTGCCCCCTGTGGCCCAGGCAGTGGTGCTTCCTGAGGACTGTGGGGAGGGCAAGGGCTGGGCATAGGCCCGGCCTTTGGGGATCTGGGGAGGCCCTTGCACACAGACAGCGACTGTGCTAAGCACAGGGTGAGAGGAATTGCAGCGGGTCCAGCCCAACCTGAGGAGTGGACGCTCACCCCTCAGATTTGGCTGGACCCGCTGCAAGGACACTCACCCCCACCCACCTCCCGTCTACCCTGCTTGGATCCGCCCCAGGCATCTGCACAGGGCCAAGCTTCTGGGGCCCGGAGGCAGGGCAACACTAGCCGCGTCTTCTCTGTTTCCTTCCCGAAAGGACACTTAGTAAGTAGTTACCATGTGCTCTGCTCTTTGAGCTATCCTATTATCTCCCTCCCTCCTCACAATAACACTGACAGGTAAGAATTAGCCTCAAGTTCAGTGAGCCAAAGGGCACTGAGGCTCAAAGAAGGTGAGGAGCTTGTCTAGACCAGTCCGCTAGAATGTGAAGGAGCCAAGATGCACACCCAGGTCCTGGGGACCAACCCTGTCCCTCCCCACTGGTGGCACAGGGGTCAGGTGGTAGGAGCTGTCCGTCTGGTGCAGGCAGGCTAGAAAGGGTGTATTCTCCATAGAGAACTTAAAAACTAGAATAAAAGCGACTAAATGTCAGTTTGCTTTCTCTTTCCCCATCACATCTAGCAGCAGCTCTGAACAAGTCAGCAGACACCATCCTGCCTCCCCGCTCCCCATGCCACTGCAGCCATGCTTCAGCCCCAGTGACCACCTGAGGGGCTCAGCTGCCAGCATGGGCGGGGGGGGGGGGTCTGAGGCCCTTCTTTCTTCCTTGGTGGGGCTAAACCAGATTGGGAACTTTAAAAGAGCATTTTAAAAGTTTAATGAAATGCCTCCCTGGACTTCGTGTGTTTTTCCAGCTGCTGCTCCTCGTCATCTCAGCCAAACTTCTGAGGGTGGCCTCCACTGCTGACCTTATTTCCCTCCGAGTCACTGCTCCGCCACCGCAGTCTGGCTCCCGCCTTATCTCCATGGAAGGGCTCCAGACAGGTCATCAGTGGCTCCTTGTAGTGGTGCCCTCCCAGCAGTGTGTGACCCTGCTGCCAGGCCCTCCGTAGTTCTCGAGATGCCCTGGCTCCTTGCTGCCACCTTTCTGTTCAGCCTCAGCTTGAAGGGCTCTTCTTTCTCCCAAAGGACAGTGCTCCTGGGCCTCTGACCTTGGCCCCCATCTTCTCACTGCGCACGCACTTTCTGGAAACTGCACCGGTGCCTATGGCTTCCCTGGCCTGGAGGAGAAGGCCTCCCACCTTTCCCCTCAATTCAGGCCCCACATCCCCTACGCTGCAGCCCAGGTGCCTGCTGCTGCAGCCACGTGATTTCTCATCCTTTTCTGACCCACTGTAGCCCTTTTATTCTTTCTTGAGTTTGAAGCTTCCAATGCACTGTGTCGTCTCCAGCTCCCACCCTATGCTGGCTCCACCCCAGGCACGTGCACGGGGCTGGACAACACCAGTCAACCCCTTATGATTTTGCTTCTTCAATTTTCTTTTTCTTAAGGGTGGAATATTTTATATATACAGGAGAAAATATAAATAAACATAATAAATATGTAATGCTCCT